TTGCCAATGTCCTCTGGGGGAATAACATGATCTACCACAACCTGTGCTGACTTTCACAGTGAGTTGGGACTATGATCTTCAGAGCCATAAGGACCTTTACTCCCTTTTGTCTCAGTAATTCATTTAGCTTTCCCATTTGAGTTCTTTGAAAAGCTTCTCCAGAGCATGAAAGTTCACTTTGAAGTGAGTTTTCCAGTTGTATCAATTTCTTGCTGCCTGGTTGCTTAATTTTATTTAATTTTATATAACTTTTTGCTGTTATGTAGTTCCATCTTGGTCACATCTGCATCTAGGTGTTGGGGTTTTGTAAATTGGGGATTTTTTTGTAGCAAATGAGGAGCTCTAACATGGAGCAACAGACTTCTTTAAGCCTAAGTGGTCCCAGTGATGTTTAGTATGTAGAAGGGTTTTCAAGCACTGGAAAAGGCTTTCCAAGGAAGTGGTTGTGTCACAATCCCTGGATATATTAAAAAGGTGTGTATAGATGTGGTGCTTGGGGACATATGTGGTGGGCTTGGCAGTGTTAGGATTAGAGTTGGACTTTGTAATCTTTAAAGCCTTTTCAAGCATAAATAATTCTATGATTCTCTGTTGGTGTTTTAGAGGGTTTAAAAGCAGTAAGAAGGAGCAAGAGAAATGGAAAAATAATAGCTGTAGAAGTATTGTAAGGTTAGATCTTCAAAAAGAAGCTTTGAAAAAACTCACCAAAATACATGTGTTCAGCTAAAACCAGTACTGTTTTCCATTGAGAAATATTGTCTGGGTCAAATTGGGGGATTGCACCAGTTAGTAAAATACAGGGGAATTTCCTGTGAGTCTGCTGCTTGTGAAGTCTGGCAGTGGCTGATGCAAGCACTGATGTGCTCTGGATATGTCTCACTCAATATGTGTATTTCAGTCAACCACATCCCAGGCAGAGTAAGGGACTCCTGTGATTTAACAAACACAAATCTCTGTGTATATATATTCCTAGGTATTTGGCCAGAAGGAATAAAATACTTTGGAAGAAGAAATTGTACTTAAAAATGGATTTTCTAGATTTGATTTTAATATTAGTATTTAATAAAAAAGCTACCAACCTTGCTGTAACAAATAATATTTTTTGTTTTATTTATTTGAAATCCGAGTAATGATATTTATATCTATGAAGCTGAGAAAATGCCCATATGAATGGAGGACTGTGATAATAAAGGGAAGTAGGCTGAAATAGTTATAGTTTTCAGCAGTTATATGGAATTTAAAATTATTTAGATTCCTTGATGTAGATTCCTTTACACTTAAAACTTAAGTTTTGAAGAGTTATGCATTTTTGCATTCTTTCTGTCTGTCTTCACCTCCTTTGTAATCCAGAAATAAAAGGAAATATAAGAAGTGTCTGAACTTTTTAATTTTTGTGTAGGCAATTTGTAATTAGAAGTTTGAATTAGTATTTCATTTTTTAAAAGTGGAGAAAATGTTGGGGATATGGTAAAGCTGTCCCTTCATTGTCTAAAGTAATTACAGTATGATGAGTGTTTTGGCATTTCATTAAGAAGTATCATGCAAATTATTTATATTATTATATATATTCTTTTGCCTCAGAATTTATTTAAATCTTTTTTATAAAATCCCACGAAGTGCTTTTCTCCACCACATGCCTTCAAAAATTGTAAGCCTTATAAGATTACAGATGCAAGGAAAACCAACATCCATTTTCACAAAGGGAGATGTTGTAACAGTGGTATTTGCACCACTTAATTAGTGGCTTGTTTGTAGTTTCTTTTGTCTTCACTCAGAGGCAGGATTAAAAACACGAAGGAGATGAATTTTCTCATGTTCGGGCTTGGTTGTTTATTAAATCTTATCTAAAGTACAGAGAGTTCAGCAACACTTCCAGCTACCAGCTAGAAGTGAGCAAAATGGAGGTGAACCTAGCTAGTTACAAAGTCTCTTAAAGCTAAGCAGCCCAATAGAGAATTAACACCTATATTATTTATACTTTTGACCCAATAACCAAACTCCTGTGACTCACAGTGGCGGCACTAACTGCTCAACCAGAAACTACTACCTGAAACCATGAAGAAGAGGGAAGAAGAGCACAGAAAGGAGACACCACCCAAAATCCTCCATCTTGTCCCATATCTATCACTATATTATAAAAACCCCAAATTCAAAACCCTTCGCCATGTGAAATCACACACTTCTATTTTAACTACACACCCATGACTTTATTACTCAAATTTGGAAGCCTTCTCCAAGGTTTCAGGTCAAAGGCAGTGTTCTCCAGGGGTCAGTGCCAGAAAGCACAGAAAGCTCAAAAACTCCAGGTTTCTGGGATCCAACAGGATGTCACAGTGGAGAAGCTGGGCAGTCCCGTGTGACGGTGCCGTTGGAGCAGAGCTGGGCTCCACTGCAGGGGTGCTGCAAGCTGGGAAGGGAAGGTGGCAGCCTGGGCTTTGCTGCACTTGGGCTGGCTCAGGTGTGGGGTTTGGGCTCTTTCTGGGCTCGTACCCAGAGTGAGCAGGCACTGGACAAGGGGGGGTGCCAGGTCATCCTTGCTGCTACAGAGCTGAGCCCAGGGCACAGGGCTCTGGAGTGAACTGTCCTCCCAGCCCAGCCAACACCAGCTTTTAGAGCTTTGCCTGTTCTTGGTGAGGATGCAGCAACTTCCAGGAGAAGAATGAGTCAAAAGTCATGACTTTCAGTCTGTGCTTCTGGCAGCTGAACTGAGGAGAAACGAGCTTGAGGTTGTAGGAATAATTATTGTTGATGATTTACTGTGTGGTAATGGACTAAAGGCATCCTGTTTCCTATCAAGATCTTAGGGCTTTACAAGTTGTTGTGACCTTTAGATTATGGTTTCCAGAGGTAGAGAATAAAAGTAAATCTCAGTGTGAAAATAAGAATGGATGTGAAACACATGTATACATGCTGTCCTTTCTCTGTCTCACTGTGAGGAAGCTAACAGTGAACTATTCACTGTTAACTAGGGCAGCATTTCTACTCCAGACAAAGCTACTCACTGTGTGCTCATTGCAGCCTGCAATTTGGGGAATACTTTGTGCTTCCTCTTCGTTATATGCAATACATTTAAACATCTAACCACTTTTTTTCTGAAGTTTTTAAATGTTTTTGCGTTAGTCCATAATTGGATAGCTAAATGAGAAGGCTGCTTGTATAAGTATTTTAGTCACCTCTATTAGTGACATCTATAATAAAACTGTGATTAAAAATAAAAATCCTAAAATTTGTTTTTAACAAGATAGAATGCCTTTTTAAGCACAGATTGGAAGCCAAGAATATTACTGCCTTATCTATAATGAAGTGTTCCAAATAATGTAGCAGGAAAAAGATCTGAGAGTTTCATTATGACAAATTAGTAAGTCTGCTAATACTTAGGAATTGGATAGCAAAATAATAGGTTGTTGTTTCTACTGGAGAGAGGTGAAATGGCTCAATTTTGCAAACATACCTATGTATGTCCTTATGTCATTGAATAGAAAGCTGGAATGTTGACATCAGAAAAAGGTGTATAGTTGCCAAAGTGCCAGAATTTTTGCATAGGGCAAATGAAGAATAGTTGAGTAAAGAGAATATTTGCATTTTCTGGCTAATGGTTAATTGGGTGTGGTGGGCAAGTATGAGGCATCAAGTCAGCTTACCTGAGATGCCCCTGCCTATTTAAATATAAGCAATTTTTAGGGTCAGTTGATTTAAAACTTTCAACCATGGCTTAGCAAGAATTTACACACGTATGTGCCCTGTACTGTAATGTTAGTTTCCTTTCAAAAAATGGATACATGAGTACTCTTTGTAAATTAGACATAGGATCCTGAATGTGAAGGTACCATGTGCACAGCTGCACACAGCTCATCCCATCACAGCTCAACCTTAACCATGCCAGGCTTGCTTGTCTGCTCTTCTCTGTAGTGTTAACAAGAGAACTGTCAAAGTCACTGTGTGTGATTTGAGTATTAGTGCTGACCCTCCAAGCTTTCTCTATGATCTTTTGGTTGGTTTAGGACAGGAAGGATGTCTGTCTAAAAGATACGTAGGTAATGCTGAGGCCAGCTGCAGGTCAGTGTTTTGCAGTGTCCGTCTGGTCTTGGAGAAAAAATAAAATTCCCTTTCCTCCCAGGCAACTAGAAAATGGAGAAATGTGGGAAAATAGGATGCACTTCAAAAAAGTCAAACATTTTCTCTGAATTTCAGAGTGGAAAGTTTTAATGTCAAGTGTATTTCTTTTTTTGCAAGTTGATTTGTTCTCTGTTAAGGCTGTATAAAAGGGGGGGGGGTGAGTATCAGTCTGTCACAAAGGCCAGCTGAGCTATCTGGCCCTTTGAGCAAGAATCATTCCTTAGCTTGGTTCAGTTTTAGACTCTTCACTTAGGCTGCAAATATTAAGGATACAGGATTTTTATGAATGATGTAAAATGTACAATAAAGTATGATGTGATTATATCCACATCTGAGGACTGTAATCATAATTCAGAAGATGACATCATTAAAGATGCTTTCTTGTAGCATTTTGACCACTCTCTGAACAATGATTGATTTAATGGGACATTGACTACTTAGAGCGATGTTTTTGGACGGGCTTTAGTCTAAAAAAATAAGAAAGAAAAAAAATGACTAAATAGCTTTATTAATCTGATTTTATAGGGCAGAGTAAGGCTGTTGTTTAGATCTCTAAACATAGATAAGATGCTTTAGTTGTTAATGGTGTTTTCTCTCTATGAAGTGATATATGTGAAAAATAAAACAGAACTGTCTCTTTGATTGAGAACAAAATCCTTCTGATAGATCCAGTGATGTAAGTGTATGGTTGATATTAGCAACTACTATCTGGTTTATTGAATAAATATTAATTTATTTCCCCCCATTAATTACTTTTTCGTTGTTGTTTACTGAAACAGGCATGTCTGTGAGCCTTGATAATGATATTTGGTCTCTAAGGCTGAATCAAAGCAGTTAATGTTATGGGTGCAATGCTGAAAGGTCTTCTTTTTTGTTTTGTTTAGCCTACAAGCCCTAAGTTTGGAAAAGCAGACTCATATGAAAAACTGGAAAAACTAGGGGAAGGGTCCTATGCTACAGTTTACAAAGGAAAAAGCAAGTAAGTGGTATTTTCTTTTCATTTAATTTTGTATGTAAATGAAGATAAGCAGAAAGTATCAGCTAATGTTGCTGAACATGTACACAGATCCCTGTGAATCAAAGGGCTACTGCCTGCCACATGCTCTAATGAAAGAGGCTGGGACCATATTGCACAGGTGGCCTCTTGCCTTCACACCAGAACAAGATGAGGTTCTTGTTAATCTGATGGTTTTTTTGCACTTTATTGTTGTACTACTTTCTTGGTATCCATACCAAATTAATTTCTAGGGGTAAAGGCAAAATGTGCTGTCAAGTAGAGTTTTATGATGGTCTGAGAGCAATGCTGAATATATGTGATAAGTTGTTCATTTTTGTTTATCATTAAAAAACACTAATAAAACAACATGAAGGGAATGAAGAGAATTTTGGACTACTCTAGGTTTAGTTTGTTTACAAGAGTTTATTTACAATTGTTGTAACTACTCTACCTCAAAGTAATCTACTTTATGCATGTCACATATTTTTTCAACCACTTTAATGTTATTTATTGCAGCTTTTTTATCCCCAGATGCCCTAAGTGCTTTTATATTGCATAAATTAACTCAGTAAACACACTTAAAATATACTTCTTCAGCCAGTGCTTCTGTTCAGAGTTACCCATTGTGAAGCAGAATTTCTTGTGCCATTTGACATATTTAATGAAGTTTCCATAATTAGATTCCCAATAATAACAAATTGGTTCTGAAAGAGGGATTTGGTACATGTGATATCTTTATTTTAAAACGTTGGTTAGTCAATGATACCTGAGACAATAATGCCATTCCAGCAGAGAATACAATGATGGTCATGGCAAAAAAAAAAAAAAACTACTGAAAAGTATGAAAAGCAGAAAGTATGTCCTAACCTTTTCCAGGGTCGTTAACTTGGTTAGGTACTGAAAATTATCTTTTTTCACTGAATATTTGTAATAAATCAGAATGAGGGTTCCCTCATCTCTCAATAGCTTGCTTAGGTATTGACAAGCAGAATGACAGCTGATAGGAATAAAAACATGTTCCAAATGTAGAAGAAATATTCACACTTCTGCCATTCCACTGCAGGTATTGTCTTTCACTGGCAGCTTTCTTCAAGGAAATGCTATTATGTTGTGTTGTTAATGGCTCAGTTATGCATTACCATAAGTTCCAGACATTATACATGTGTAAGCTTTTTATTGGGGTCTATGTAATATGAGAAAGCAGTATAGATTTCAGCTTGTGCCTAATTACTAAAATCCCTTAGTAAAATCACAGTGAGTATCTGATGACAGTCAGTCCATATGTCTCGGCTTTCAGTAAGACTGAACTCAGACAACAGTCACTGGATGTCCTGTCAGTCAGTGGAACAGACTGAAATTTAAAAGCAAAGCAAAACCCTTCCCTGAAGCTATTGCATTAAGAGTGAACATGTTATGAAATGCAGATTGGTTAGAAATACTCATTTTAGTAGAGTTGTGCAAATCTGAAACAAATACTTCAATGATTTTGATGGTACTTGAATAATAAATTGAAATTACTGTGCACACTACTTTCTGCAGGTCTTTAAAATGTGTTCTGAAAAAAAGTATGTGTAACTGGAGTGTGGATGAGAATTCATATGCAGAGAGTATTTCTACTGTTATAGTAGTATTCCTTCACCTGTTTGAATTTGACTTTTTTTTCCCCACTGAGAATTGAGTAATTTCCTTATTATCCAGCACTATCCAGATTCAGCACCTTCAGTCCAGGCTTCTGTTTCTTAAACTAAAGAGACAGTTGAATTACTTCACAGCAGGAAGAGATAGCACTTTAAGAACTTGGGAAACACTACAGGTGTTATCTACTATTTCAAAAGGGCTTGTTTGCTGAGGTAATGTAACCCTGTTACCTCTTCTGTCTCTGTGGGAAGGTGAGGAATCTCTCACCTACGTGGTCTCCCTGTAGAAGAAAGAGCATCACTGCTGTGATGTACTCTTGGGGAGCCTGGTGAGCAGGTGTGGGGTGAATGCATGGGCCAACATTGGCTCTGGCCATCCCTGCAGTATTTAAAAGATGTGCAGGTGTGCACTTAGGGGCATGTTTAGTGGTGGGCTTGGCAGTGCTGGGTTAATGCTTGGACTCAGTGATAAAGGCCTTTTCCAGCCTAAACAATTCCATGATTCTATGGCTGAGACCTGAACCTGGCTGCTGCTTTTCAGACAGGTTTACTCTGACTGTCTATAGCTTTATCTTAAAATGATACAGGAAAAGAGATTGTTTTTTTCTAGATTCTGATATGGATATATAGGGTGAGACTATGTTCCCCTGCCTACAGACTCAGTGGGAATGCAAATGAGCAAAAGAAGTCTTTTTATTTTGGTGTGTTCCCAGTTTGGCTGCTAAAAGATTAAGCTCTCATGGCACAATGCAGAATGCAGACACATGATGGAAAAACTGGAGCTGGTAGTACACAAGTGGATTTTGGTCAAAATATTTGAGAATCCCTAATAACCAACTCTAATGCTTGGTTTCTTCATTTTGCCAAAATGTTTCTGAGATGTGTCCTTAACTGTAGTTGAAGATGGAAAATTTAACATTTTATTGAGCTATTTTGAATGATGCTTTGTACTCAAAATTGTTTTGCTCATTACGTGTCACCAGCTGCATGTGGCAAGTAGTAGTTTTATGCATTTCCTGAGATACATTTCAGCTTTTAAAATTATTTCCCCCACTGATCATAATGATGGAATAAAACAGTCTTAATATTAGCATACTATTTGGAGAGTCTAAAAGATGCATGTCTGCCTGAAAAGACACAAAATCATCCATTCCCTTCCTAAAATGCAAGGTAATACATGCAGTAACTTGCTTTCAGAACAATCCTGGCTTTTTGCACCTTGAGCAGGATAAATGGTATCAAGCCCTTGTCTTCCTATAAAACCCATTGCTTTTCTATCATTTTGAGCATCTGTGGTTGTATTCCAGGAAATTGAAATGAAATGGGCTAATTCCTTTTACTGGATGATGGATTTCTCTTTCTGTAGTCAGATAAAAATGAATCCCTGGGGTGAAGAAGCAGCAGAGTGAAGAGGACTGTGTTATTGAGGAAAGTGAAGCAGTATTCTCTAAGGCTGGGCTTTTTTGTTTATAGGAGAAACAGCCAAGCAGTCATTTTTTCTGGCTGACAGTTGCATCAATAGGTAAATCTATTTGATTTCATGTGTTGCACATCAGATGTGTGTAATGAAACTCATCTTGGCATGTTCATTTTCTACTTTCATTCAGGCTAGATTCTCATATTTTACTTAGTTGTATAAAATCACAGGAGGCTGCTTACTGCATGAAATTCAGATGACTTTGAAGGGATTTATTTTAATGCAAAATTCTGGAGAAGTGGGACGAGTAATTTACTGATAACACTGTAAAAAATGATGCAAGTTCCATTGACT